AAGTTACTGCATGATTGTTTTATAATTTTAATAAAACTAATTTCTTCTAATTTTAAATATATTTTCCCTGAATTCGTGATTATTCGGCGTCATGCGTGTTACATCCAAAATCACTTTGAAGCGGGACCGTCCCGCACGATGCGCGAGAAACGGTTGGTAATGCGTTTTGTAAGCCAGGACCCATAGTATTTTGTTTCGTTTCTTCACAGAGAGGGGTTCGTCCGAACCCCTTGAACCCCCCTGGATCCGCCACTGCTTTCCATTGGCACAAATAATGACCATGTTTTATGTGGTGCGTCAGCCATCTTGAAATTCAAAATGGCGGCCGATGACTTTGGGGAAAAAATGGCACCTAACTTTTTTTTAATTCAGCGCAGTAAAAATAATAAATTTAGTCAATAAAATCTATTTTTGCTCAAAAATCTATCTGGATTACATAGAAAACTAGCTTATATACTCGTTCTTATTTTATGTACATTTTAAGTAAGTATATTTTGCGATTATTTTTAAACAAATAAACACCTATTTTTTAATTATGTTCCATTCTGGCTTGAGTGACAGTAGTTTTTATATGTCTAGTTTGTTGCCTGTCTAGAAATTATTAGTTTAGAGACCAAAATCATATCTGTAGCTTATTTAGTTTCAATTTTATGCACATTTTAGATAAATTTGGCGGCCATTTTTAAAAATGGCAGCCATTTGTATACAAGGAGTAAAATCAAGTGTCAACAGGGCTTAGGGTGACCAGAAGGGATTAATTAGGATATCTGGCTATGTGGATTGCTTCTAACATTCCACTCCCCCTAACACATTTTTTTTCAGATTTTTTTTCTAGTCTATACGTGTTGCGTAAAGGAGTACGCGCAGACTGTTGAAGGTATGTTAACCAATCAAAAGCGTCAGCAGCAAATCAAATTAAAGCGCTTCGTAACCAAGGCACAGCACACACATCGTAGGCAGGGCGTATAAGCCCAGTGAAATAGTTCAGCTTTCTTTGCTATAAAAATCACCTTTCCCGTGGGTATATTTTGGTAAACTTTTTGTATGTTGTAGATATAAAATTTAACTATATATATTCATAAAAAAAACGTTTTGTTGCAATTATGTCCAACTTTGGTGCTTTAAATCCATATTTCTTGTGGACTAAAGTAACTTTACCTGTCCTAGTTTAGTTATCAAGTAAATTGCATAGATACATAGAAAGTCATTAAATAAGACCTGTCCTAGAAACTTCACTAAAAAGTCACAATATTGCCAACACATGAAAGCATGAATAAGTTAATATATATACTTTACTCTGATAACAGGTGAAATTAACTTTCTTGTCCGAATTTGCCGATGAGTTGATATCTTTAGTTTTTGACGGTGTCGACTCGGACATCACATCATGGTATTCTGCGATTAACTTAAAAATATCGCCATGGAAGGATATAACATCAAACACCACATTCAATTTCTTCAGCATTGCTGGCCATCGGTAAGTCGTTCTGGTTCTTTATATGTAAATTTATAGGCCTATAGTTAGCCTACCTGTGCGAAGGAGATTATGTATTTATCGCTGTTTGTCGGGTTGCCTGTGTGTCTGGTTGCTGTCTGTCTGTCGGGCTGTTTGTATAGTAGCAATGTTACGCTAAATTAATGCACAAATCATAGTGCATCACAGAAAGTGGGATTTTTTTTAAACTTACTCTTTTACCATAAAAGAAAATCATGGAGTCACCTAAGTTCTCGTCTGAGGCCCACGTAAAATTTCTCGGCCGAGTCCTCCAGAAATGGAGATGGCCTCCCGCACTCCCGCGATGAAAGGAAGAATTTTCTGGAAAATAACCCATCTGTCTCTCACTCCAAAATATTTGCATGTTTTATCAATCGTCACCCGGAAGTCAGTGTATATAAAACCCTGATGTGGATTCTTCAAATTGGGATCCCTGATTCAGAATTGGGGAAGATCAATGTGGTACAGGGGGACACGTCCCACTACTTTTCGACCGAAATTTAATTTCAAGAAGACGCCTGAAAATTGTTGAAATTATGACCCAGATGTTTTGTAAAGACCGAATTCTGAAGCAGTTCCACCCCGTTAAATTAGACTGTGGTATGAATTCGTAAATACAATCTTATGCCATGGAACAAGTGTTGAGTCAGGATTATGAGGGCTCACCTCACTAAATAAATACTAGATATAAGAGGATGTCTGAGAACGGGCGCAGATATGCTTTGAAAGGTGGAAGAGGGGGAATTTCATGAGTCCACACGTGACTTCAGCTGCACCATGGATGGGGCTGAGGTGCAACAATTTGAGAAAATAGTACCTTTAGTAGAAAACGACACTTTAGTAAAATTCATTATTATTACATCACCTTTATAATAGTGAAAATGAAACGCCAATAAATGTCTCATGATTTTTTATCAGCGATGTTCGGCAACCATATAGAGACCTAAATAATGTGTGATATATCATAGAAAATAAAATTTAAAAACTCTTTTTTGGTGTATTTACTTTACATACTTCAAAGCCATGGGTACGCAACCTCCTCAGCGCCATTATAGTTGGGACTGAGGTGAGAAAATTTGTGGAAATAGCACCTTGTGAATTCCGATAATGACACTTAAATATAATGTATAATTCATCAAAATCATCACTATTATGCAGTACCGTATTCAAAATGAAGCGCCAACAAATTTTCATGATCTTTTATCAACGATCTTAATCTGCAACCGAGATCAAATTAATATGTGTGATGTACCATAAAAAATGAAACTTAAAAAAACATTGTCTTTGATGTATTTACTTTACATACTTCAAAGTCATGGGTCCACCATAGTCGGGGCTGAGGTAAGAACATTTGTAGAAATCTATAGTACTGTACCTCTAGGTAGCCGGAAATGAAACTTTTATGTAGTAAAATTCGTCATAACATCATCTCAATTATATAGTCAATGAACCCTGTGGAGTCATGTTCTTGTTGGTAAATGTCACTGTGGTCTAATGTGGAATGTCCTTGTAAAACAAGAAGCTATTACATAATTGTGTGAATATCTGTCCGTTCTGAGTTATTTCGTTGAATAATCATACAATTTCTCCTGTATTCCTGGCCTGTTCTAATTGCCAGTTGTTAAGTTTGATTGGCACCCCAGATTGTCTATTGGACGACAACGTATAGTATAATGGCTGTATTTTTAGTATAAACGTCCAAAGTCTCGGTTTCCCGATGTGAATATCAATCCATATTTCAGATTAAATGAGGGAAAGATAATGACTTTTACCGTCGTTTTTCACTGGATTGTTAGCTGTTCCCGTGATTTTCACGTACTTCCATCAAAGTCAGATATTTGGCGGTTTTATGAAGTCAGATATTTGGCGGTTTTATACAACGTACAGTTTTGAAGTTTTATATGGAACACCAAAAATGATTTTCCAGCACACTTTGTTACTGCAAGCACAATCGCTTTTCGTCAGACACAGTCGGTTTCTCGATGCGTTACAGTAAAACTTCGCCTTAGCTGCCCCTGACCAGAATATGTTGATTAGACCAACCGATTGCAAATCATGTTAATTTCAATTTACTGGAAAAAAAAAAATGAAAATGAAAAATAAAAAATTCCAAGGCAAATTGGGATAATAGGCCTACAAGATATTCTCTATACCCATACCACTGGCTGTTTCATCTCATTTTAGTGGTTTCTAACTATATCTATATAGAATCGTGTCTGAATACTATATTTACGTTTTTCTTTACAGAGCAATCAATGATTGATTGATTGATTGGTTGATTAATCATTTAAGTTTGACCTCACATTTAAAAATTATTATTATTTTTTTCCCTTATTTCATTCTTGATAGGGTGGCGGGTCGCAGTTTCTTTATCAACTATAGCTATTTAGGTACGTGTCCGAATGATATCGGGTGGCTAGTTGTCATCGACAGACGTGATGCTACTCGTTGTACATGGCAACACGGGATGGATCCCCCAGCTTTCCTCTACAGTTCATCTGATGTTAAAGAAATCTGGGACAGTGGTTGTAAGTAATCAAACACAACGTCCTATATATTTTGTTATAAAGCAATAATTATTTTTAGGCCTAGTCGGCCTATAATTATTATCATTAAAATATTTACCCAGTCCATTAATATAGGCCTAAATACAAATCAGACTGTCTACATATACGGTTATATACCAGCCTCCCTCCTTACCTAACCCCCTCCCCCAACCCAAACTACCCAACAGTTTCTGAAAGTATATTGTGTATAATTATCAAAATATATGTGAAAAAATATGTGCAAACCTACTAACCCTGATCAAGGAGGAAATGGCCTGATAATATAAGATTCTTTTGGATTCCTGGACTCGTCAATTGTTCTATAGGATCCTATCGGTTTTGTACAATACAACCCAAAGTCTGTTAATATTAAAGTGTGAGTGTACTGTATCAAGAATATTCAAGAATGTTAAATAGTCAAATCATGTTTAAAATGCGAATTATTTATACTCATGTGTCTGTATTACTATATTTATATTTTTGTTTACAGCAATCGGAAGGGCCTACATACTGACGGTGCATATCATGTTTGGTTAACCGGTTGATCAGCCCCATCTTAACTGCTGGTCATTATACAACAATTAATCATCTTGTTATATTAAAGATATACACCAATTAATGATTTTGGTATTAAATATAATTTTAAAATGTTGTAATTTTTTTTTCTGATGTTGAAATGTATATTAGTTAATATAATATTACATGAATTTACTTACTTGACTATAAAATATTCAATTATATTCAGGTTTTCTTTTTATAGAAGCCAAATTGACAATAATGGCCCAAAGTTGTATTGTTGATCAATTGTTTAGATATAGGCCTATCAGTACAATAGCTGTGCGTATGTATAAAGTGGAAAAATAGAAATATTGAAATGAGTGAATAAGTTTTAGATTCAAGATTCAAAAGATTCAAAATAACTTTATTTGCAAACTTAAGGAAAATTTGAAATGTACAAAATGTTGTCTGCTATCTGGCTAGGCCAATCACTAGGCTTCGCAAACAAATCTTCAAAAATTCCATCAAAAGTAAACGTAAAATACACAGAAACATCATACAGTCACCATACAATCACCAAACAACAGAATAACCATCAATTATTATTATTATTAATATTATTATTATTTATTATTTATTATTATTATTATTATTATTACTATTACTACTACTACTACTACTACTACTACTACTACTACTACTATTATTATCATTACTATTATTATTATTATTATTACTACTACTACTACTACTATTATTATTATTATCATTACTATTATTATTATTATTATTATTTATATTATTATCATTATTTGAAGAATAAAATATAAAAAGGCCTACCTAGTATATCACAAATAACAAAACTTATCATAACACAAATGTTATCGTGTACCAATATTATTCACATATAAAAAGAGCACATTTAAGTACTTATATATCTTGTTTTTTGCTCTAAGAATTAAATGCACGTCATTTTGTTAATGACTGTACGTACATATTTCAACTTGATTATCTCCACACCCACCACTGTCATTTCCATTTTCCTCCAGAACTAAACGTGTTTTATTTAGGTGCGATTGTTTGGTTCAAAGACACTGGTATTCACTGAAACAAATCCTATTTTATGTAGTCCTACTGTAGAAGCTAGATGATGTATATTGTAGGTTGGTACGATGTAGGTTCAAAATTATACAATTCTAATATAGATAGGCCTGTGGAAATATTACATTTACTGTATGTGTGAGAGCATGAGACAGAACTCGACTGGAATGTGCAAGTCTAGCTCACGCCTCGAATGCGTGGGACCCGGTAAGTCGGCAAAAATTATTTATTTATTTATTTTTTTTAAATCTTTTGTGGGGTCATCCCACTTTTATTTATATTTCAATTACCATCATACTATAACCTCACATTTAAAAAATAGCACATTTATTTATTTCTTTTATCATGAATAGGTGCATGACATTGGCAATTTAAAACAGTTTAGTTCAGACATGCGTCATATGGGAAAATGTCTGTAGATTGTGTAAGGCGGAAAAAGATGTAATGTGTTATTTCCATGATAAAGTTGAGGTGTGGTACCTGTCAAATTTGTAATACATGGTTCTATGAATCTTGTGAACGCACATGGAAGGATCATTTGTGCGTAATATCTGAGCACGGGCTTTCTACTGTTGTTATTTACGGTAAAATGTAAAACCATTTGATTAATACAATTACAATATGGTAAATTATGTTATTAACGTTTTTGCATCACCCATTCTTCTTTAATTTGTTTTTAAGCCTATACGACTTAATGTAGATTATGAGAAGTTCAAGTAGTACCACAGTGAAAATGGCTTACTGTGACAGGGTGAAATTTCACCCAATATATAATATTATGGGAGAGCTATTCAACTTTAATAAAAACCCACTCAAAGCACAAACTTTATTTCAACTGTAA